CCCCCAGACTATGTGGTCCATCAAAAACATCATTTATAGATCAACCAAACCTTACATTAAATAGCCTTTTAAAATAGACGGTTCTTATTGTGTTTTCTGTCCTGAAAATCAAATAATCTCTTTTGTTGATGCTACTGATGTAACTAGTTWAAATCTCTAAAATAAGGAGTATAAAAACACTCAGTACAAACAGGATTTACAAATTGAAGTAGCCTAAGTTTRGTGCAGTAGGGGGAAGATGGACGTCTTGTATTTTTCACTTCAACGTAAGCAGCTCAGTAAAAATATTTTTAAACACAGCTACTCGTTTTTAGCTAAGGAACAAGTAGCGGAAAAGCAACCAGTGTTATTATTAAGCGGCTCTCASGCGCAGAAAACCCCTCCTCTTGCTAGCTAAAGTCAAGCTACATGGTTAGCTGAGCCACCCGCGGCAGTCGCAAAAGCCCACACAGCTGTGCCTAATTATGAATCTATGAACAAGCTTACCTCCTCTTCCYTGCGACAGCAAATCTTTGTTTTCCACACGAATGAACGGCACTACTCTAAGTTAACTTAAAGTGCAATTAGCCAGCCGGACAGCTTTGCCTTTTGTCTGGATGAGATGCTGAGCGTCTGCTCAGTGGCGTTTGAAGCGCTTTCCTTCTGTCGTTCAGTGTAAAAACACTACTTGACTCTATTACCGTAAAACCTCATATAAACGCGCCATTGCGTTTTGGCCAAAGCTAAACGTAAGCACAATCCAAAGCAAAGGTGAACACTACAGTAACAAAGACGTAGTGTGAGTTACGCTAGTAGTTCTCTTCGAAGCTAGATAATAGGAGAACAATATTTATCTTTATTTATATTTCGAACCTTAAAACGGACAGAACAATACTCACCTCTAGTGGAAGTGAACGGTACTACTCACTACAGGGGGCTTTGCCTTTTACAAGAAACTTTACGGTCAGACACCTGATTGGTGAATGTTTAAAAACGTAACATGACGTTTCAAGACTGTAACCAATCAGCTTCGAGAAAGGGTTGGCCCCATCGCAAAGATAACGAGACCAAATAACGTTGCTTGCACTTATTTACATAGCGTTTATTATTAATAATAATGTGACTTATGGACCGTAACATTATGTAATTATTATATGTAGCACTCATGAAGACGATGCTGGCCATGGAGTTGGGAAAACGCTGATGTAAGTAAAGAAAAATGTTTGCAGACTATTAGCGGTACGCTATTAGCTAGCTAGCAGAGAGATTAGCTAATTGAATGAAAAACAGCATGCTGGCTTGTTTTAGCTAAATAGTGCTTCTTTTTGTAAGTAGCAAAATAACTACTGAGTAAGCTATGACTGCTAGTAGCTATTTTAATGTTGCTGGCCGTTTAAAAATGCGTCTGTTAACATGTGCACAGTAAACATTGTGGGTTTCTCTGTCCAGATTCTGTTTTATTTCTCTGATGTGGGTCTTCACACAGTAAGATGTCTCTGGCCCAGAGGGTTTTGTTGACCTGGGTCTTTACCCTTGTTTTCCTCATCATGCTGGTGCTCAAACTGGATGGGAAGGTATAGTAAAAGTTTTGTGTGTTTCATGTGTCCTRCACCAATACTTTTAATAAACAATAAACTARAATATAATGATYATAAGATGTAAGGAATAAAATCTGRCTATTAACCTTTTTGTCTTCCTCTAACCAGGTGCAGTGGAACTGGTTCCTCATCTTCCTCCCAGTCTGGGTGTTTGATGGCATCCTCATCCTCATGCTTGCCATCAAAATGGCCGGGCGCTGCAAGCCCGGGTACGACCCACGCAACGGTTCGCCTGACCTGTGTCTGCGCACCTGGTACCTGACGGCCATGCTGCTCAAACTGGGTTTCTGCCTGACGCTGTGCGCCAAGCTGGAAAAACTGGCCGACGTCAAGCTGACGTTCGTTTGCATACCGCTGTGGACTATGCTGCTGGGAGCACTGGTAGAACTGGGACTGAACATCTTTCCAGAGAGGAGAGAGGTTTAACAGTGGCGTAACAATCAACTTGAAACTACGCTCATTTAAAAAAAGAGAGAGATGTGATGGAAATATCTATGATTTGTCTTTTATCTCATCAGGYTTTAAGTATGAAAGTTCAGAGCTGAGCTAAAGATCTACTGAATGTTAGAAAAGCTGCTTTTGAGTCAAACAAACAAAACAAATATCACTTAAATGAATCTGAAGAGGCATCTATATAAAGACAACTGTGAAGCCAATACAGGGGAAAAAAATCTTGCAATGTGTTATGAATTCATATGATTCAGTATTGTTTTTAAATATTTAGTGAATATAACTTTTCTCGATTGAAAGGTACCATAAATAGAATTCCAATTTAGAATGTGTTAAAATGTGTTTGTGTGTGGCTGTATTAATCTTTGTACTCTGAGTTGTTAAAAGTTGTTTATCAGATGTTATTTCAACAGTTTAAATTACCATTTTCAATGTTAGTTTATTGTATTTTTCTCCTTCCTCCTCTGTACATGCTGTTTTTTTTTTACTTATCTGCTGTAATAAAATGACTGGTAAATATAATTTCACCGAGAAGTAAAAATCAAAACAGCTCACAGTAATCAGGAAAGTAAAAAGTACTTTTACACTCTAAGAAATGAAGTGTTGAATTTACTTAGAGTTGAGTATTTTTTTTACATCTTCCTGCAGTTTTTCTCAAATTGATGACAGTGTTCTGTGTGCAAAGTTTATATTTTTGCCAAATAATCAGTTCAGATGTTTCTCCATTTTGCACTTTATTGAAACCAGATCTGACCTGAGTGTGTGTTGTAATAATTGTTTAAATTTCGCTGTGCGAATGTTTCTCATTTAAGTTGTACCAATAAAAATACTAAAACCAGTTCAGGTGTTTCTAAATGGAAGATGGTTATTAGTTTTAAAATATGCAAGGAGAAATTATATTTATTAATAATCTATTTCACATAGTTCCATTTGCTGTTCTCATTTATCCTTGAATGCAGTACAATGATCTGCTTTTTATTTTAAAAAGTAAAAAACATTTATTTGTAATGCAGTCCAAGCTTGAAAAAACAAGAAACTGGGACGTGCATACTTACATACAGTGAACCTTTTATTAGTTAGGCTCATATTTAAAGTAGAAACCACACTACAAGATTTGATCTTTGTACAAAACTTCTTATGTACACTACAGTGCTGACAGTTAACAAAATGAAAAAATAAAAACAAACCGAAAACAACTCAAACTCCTGAGGACATCTGTTTTCAACAATAGCTTTAGTCACAAAACAAAAAAATAAAACCCAAAAGCAGACAAAGAGCTGCAGAGCGCCTTGCAACTGGATCAAGTCCTTAATTATCGCCTCAATCAGAGCCACACAGGGAAGAGTTTCCATCTGAAACACAGTCGTTTGAGGCAGAGGAAGAAATAAGGCGTTATCTTTCACTTATTAAGAWTTTTGCAGGCTTTTGGTGCGACGGATCAAGAATACAAACCTGCTTTTTGGATTTCATCTCCCCAAAGTCATCTGTACTGAACGCTGCAGATATCTGCAGGCCTTTCAACAAATTTAAAAAACAATTTAAGGCGYTTTCTGTCCCCTCTGCACTGTGTGTCTGGAGAACCGAGGACAAACCCCAACTCCWAAAACAATCAGACGGTGTGTAAATGTTCATTCAGAATGGAACACAGACACTTTGACTTCTCCAGCTTTTTGTTATATTTTGTTGTGTTTACTATGTTCCATTATGAATAAAATAGGAGCTACATTTCACACAACGTTCCAACTTCTTTGGAGTTGTAGTTCATAGTTAAGGACAGGCACTGGGGAAATGTGGGCTACATTAGCAGGAGGGCTGCACTCTCACAGTAAAATTAAGACATGATGAAAAGGTTCCTCAGCTGTGGGACATGCACTGAGACAGAAGAGTCTGAACCTCATCAGATACCTGGAGAATCATACTCTTCATACTTACAGACCTTCTATCATCACTTCAGGCCCTGGTTGATAAATAAACATTTGAATATACATAACACTAGAAACTGGACTTCAGGTAAATACATATAAATAGTGCTTTGGGCATAAGCTTTCATCTGTTTTCAAGAATCTTAGAACACAGATGCCTGAATCATTTCTTAAATATAGACTTGGAAGAACCCGGAAATGCCCCGTTGATAATCTGGCCAAAAAAATAAATAAATAAATCTGAGTCATTACTTCTTCAATAGTCATTTGTGTGCTCAGAAGGGATTAAAAAGTGCTGCAAAGGGTCATGATTAGGAAGCCTTGACAAAAAGTGTCTGCGTATTGCTCTCTGAGTTCTGCCGCTTGCTTTAGAACCTCAACAACTACATGAAACTTAAACCAGGTTAAAACCGAAGGATTGAGTTTTTAAAGGTGAACTTTATGCGACCTGACTGTGTTTTCCTGAGTCTCTGGAGGCCGGCCTTTAACGGACATACTCAGGCTGAATTATTTTTTTTATTATTTCAATAAAGTTATAATTTTATTAAAATAATTTAAAAAAATACTAGAATAGTTCCTGGAGAAACTATGAAAGGATTGCCAGCTGTGCAAAACTCGTCCTGTACATTTTGAACATGTTTGCTGTTTAAAGAGGTTCTGACAGCAGTCCTAAAGATGTATTTGATGTCTGATTGAGATGTCAGCAACTTGTTTGCCTTTTTTCTTTCTATAGGTGTCACAAAATGACTGTTGTAACTCATTTTGTATGTATTTTAGCAAAATTTGWGCTTTGATTCATGGAATATTTTGCTAACAGACATTTTTCTACATTATTTCTGCCATTTGTAAGACTCGAATACTCTAATAAGGTGGATCAGTTGTTGTAAAGCTCTTTAACACTTTGTTTCACACTTTAGAGTCATTCAGCATATATGTAAAATGTGCTGATTTCCAGCAATGATGTGGTAATTGAGGGTTACTTGGACAGCCATTTTGTGTCTGAGTTGGACAAAAGTGTTGGACAGTGACAGAGGACTGTGCAATGATGACTGTCTTAGAGATTTATAACGTTAATATCAGTGGTTCATGGGATACTTTAAAGAGCGTTCCGGTTTTAAAGGCTTTGAGGCCTTGCCCATTCATTTCCAATGGCATGTGTAAGGTGTCTTTGTCTGCCTACTGCGTCGCCATGGTAACAACGAATGTACAGTTGAGGAAGAACACAGTTCCCCTGATCGAGCCGGTCGTTTTGATGTATAACTTGTGTGGGTGCAGTCATGTTTCATTTGCATAGAAAAAAAGTAGCCGAAGTTCCTTCGGCTGCTATCTTGTTTTTCATGTTTGTGCTCCAGTATGTGACAGAGGTTACTGTCAGCTACCAGTAAACCAAGTTCCAGCTCAATATATCAAACAAAGGCTGAGCGAAAGCCATTTATAAATAGCTTTGGCGGCCATCTTGGATTTTTGTTTTCAGCTACTATTTGTGGTAGAGGTTACTGTCAGCTACTTGTGTATCAATTATTAGCTCAATATATTGAAAATCGGCTGAATTGGAGTAATTTGGACTTAGCCATGGCGGCCATCTTGGATTTTTATTTTGGCTACTATTCRACACTGCCTAACCTACAGTTGGAGTGTAGACTGAGCTGCATATGGTTTTAAATGGCTGAATGAGAGCCTTTTTTCCCCAAAATTAGCTTTAGCAATTAGCTTACACTTGTGAGAAGCATTTATATTGCGTGRAGTTAGCTGTCAGCTACCAAAGGAGTTTTATGGAGGTCTTTGTGGGTTTACTGTATTACCATGTTARCAAAYGAAACCTATGTAAAGTCATGTGTGACCTTTAACCTACATTAACTCACTACAGCCTCAGCCAATCAGGAGGCTGGATTCCCAGCAGCAGCTCAGCTGCACTTAATGGGAGACCAAAATCTGCAGCTCCTCTGTCTGAAAACACAGAAATGATGTGTCCTTTCAAACAGCTGCTGTACAAAAAATATAAGGGCTATTGAAATAATTTTAGGACCGTGAGCGTCAGAAGACTTTGGTMTTTAATGAAATAAAATATCAAGCACGTACTTGGCATGATGGCTGAGATATCGCGAGTTAAAAAAGGTAGTAAGTGTTAGATTTCTGAATCTGGTTTTGACCATTTTTGAATGGAAGACAGGAGAAGGAACTTGGTTTTGCTGGCTTCTGAAGCACGTAGAGAGAAAACCAATTGTCTTAGAGCCAAACCACACACGTTTTCTGAAAGAAGACAAAAATTCCTACGTTTTGATGTGTAATTTGTCTTTGTAACGTGAAAATTGTGGCTGTAGTAGGAATTTGTTTGCAAAGTTTCTTCTTTAAAATTACAGAGCTCACACTCTAAGGTCACATGACCTAGAGTGAGGAGCTTCCCATGTAATCCAATGGGGATTTTTAGATTAGTTTTTTGGGGATTACGTCGCCTTGGTAACAGATCATGTAAAGATAAATAATAGCACACCTCGTGAGATCGACGCCGACGCAATGATGTATTTTTCATGGGGCCCGAACCGCATTAACGGTGAAAGTTCTGGGATGAATAATATATAAATAGAGTCCAGTTTAGAGGTGGATAATAATAGGTTGCCATTGTTCATGGCAATCCTAATTATAATAATAATAATAATAATTATTATTATTTTAAACCAAAAATATCACACTGGCAGTGAGGACAAACAACCTAAATATTTTAAAGGGCCTGACTTACCGATACCAAAGTTGGCTCTTACTGTAGTGATTTAAAACTGACTGGGTCTTTTTTTCTTTAGTAGCACTGAAAAACAGCCAATACAACACTGGAAATGATTAGAAAAGTCATTTAGACATCATTAATTGCACTCCTCGTTAATGCTTTCAGACAGAAGCAGTATGTGGTTTTATATTCAGCAGATTATTGCTCTGAATACAATATGAGGGAAAAGTCCTGCTATTACCTGTACTGTTCAAGATGTACTGATAAAATACAAAAAGAAATGTAGCAGTATGAAAACAACAGACAAGTTTTAAATAACACAACGTTGGCCCGTCTTTACTCAAAAAGATTTGTGGGCACAGAGAACATTTAAAGGCACAGTGTGTAGGATTTTGTCAATTCTTTTAGCCGAAATTGAGATAATCACTCATGACAATTATAAAAAACATGTCTAATCATTGCAGACAAAGACCTTGTTTTATTATTTTTACCTTATAAAAAGCTGTTTATATCTCCATGGTCGCCACAACAGGCAGCCGCCATCTTGCACCGCCATCTTGTCTACCAAGGCTCATGAAGGACAAACTGCGGTGGCGGCGTCAAAAACGGTTTTAGTTGTAATACTATAAATGTAATATTTGTTGTCTGTTATTGTAGCTGGGATAATTTTACTTATTAAAGCTCATAATCTTACCACTTGAAACATCACTAGCCCTGAAGCTGCTGGTAGACATCGCGGTTGGAATTATCAAAGGTTTTTGACACCTGAGAGACACCGTAGCAACTCCTTTGCGTTTGGAAGCGGGGGTGGGGGTGGGGGGAGGACCAGGGAGGATGAATCAACCACTCAACCACTAGATGTCACTGAAAACAACAAATCCTACACACTGTGCCTTTAAAAAAAATAAAACAATTAGCTGCGAGTTTCGTAAAAAACCATTGTGGGTTTTTTAGTTAAATAAATAACACAAATCTGGCTTAATGAGCTTGTTACTTCCTACATCTGATGGCTCACAAAAAAATTGAAGTATTACTCTTAAAAACTAAAAGAATAAAACCAAACAGCTGCTTGGCAGACCAGGGACTTCATTCAAACCATAAGCCTGAATATTCTGGAGCTACAACTGGTGCACAGTTATATTTGTGCACAGTCAGAGCTTCAGCCAGTCCAGTCCAGGAGTCTGAAATATAACAGCTCAGCTCTGCTCTTATATGGTGTCTGAACAGACACGCTTAACTTTCTTCCTTTTTACAGCGTTTTACAACCAAAATAAAACCTCGAACATTTACAGTCCTTTACAATCGCTATGTACAAACACGACTATAACAGCTGCTTCGGCTGCTCGTCATGCCTGGGGGGAGGGGAGAAGATCGACGGGGAGGGCTGAGGGAAGGGAGGCGGTGGCAGAGGGGGTGGAGGTGGAGGGGAGGACGGAGGCGGAGGGGGGTGAGGGTAAGTCGGGGACAGGGGGAGCGGAGGCTGCGCCGGCGCTGAGGTTTGGTACGGGTACGAGCCGGGCGGCGGCTGCGAGAGGAACGTCTGAGGAGGGAGGAAGGGGTGAGGGGTGAAGCCCGGGTGTTGAGGGGGGAAGAAGGTTTTGGCGAACTGGTGCTGGTAAGAGAGGTGGGGGAGCAGAGGCTGGGAGGGGGAGTTGGGCTGGGAGGAGTGGGGGAGCAGGGGAGGCGGGTAGTAGGTCTGAGCCTGTGTGGTGATGTTGGGCTGCTGCAGGTGGCTCAGGTGGACCGAGTGAGGCGGCACAGTCTGACTGAGGAAAGGGTTCAGAGTCTGGGGCTCGGGGGGGAAGGAGGGACCGGGGAGAGGATTAGTGGGGAGGACTGGAGTCCTGTGGGGGAGGTGGGAATGTGACATGAGGGGAGGGTAGGGAGGAGGAAGCATCTGAGGGAGGTGAGGAGGAGGAGGAGGGAGATGCTGCGGTGTGTATTGCTGCATGTAGAGTCCTGGTCTGGAGGCGTCCTGCGGAGGACACATCTGCAGGTCCATACATGTCCCGGAGTCAGAGTTAGAACCGTGAGTCCAGAGGTCTGAGTGTGTCCTTGTGTCCAACGTTCGGCCTCGTGTTTCAGCTTCTAAGTGTGTCCTTGTGTCCAACGCTCGGCCTCGTGTTTCGGTGTCCAAGTGTGTCCTTGTGTCCAACATTCGGCCTCGTGTTTCAGCTTCTAAGTGTGTCCTTGTGTCCAACGCTCGGCCTCGTGTTTCGGTGTCCAAGTGTGTCCTTGTGTCCAACATTCGGCCTCGTGTTTCAGCTTCTAAGTGTGTCCTTGTGTCCAACATTCGGCCTCGTGTTTCAGCTTCTAAGTGTGTCCTTGTGTCCAACGTTCGGCCTCGTGTTTCAGCTTTTAGGTGTGTCCTTGTGTCCAACTTTCGGCCTTGTGTCTCAGCTTCTGAGTGTGTCCTTGTGTCCAACGTTCGGCCTCGTGTCTCAGCCTCTGAGTGTGTCCTTGTGTCCAACGTTCGGCCTCGTGTCTCAGCTTCTGAGTGTGTCCTTGTGTCCAACGTTCGGCCTCGTGTCTCAGCTTCTGAGTGTGTCCTTGTGTCCAACATTCGGCCTCGTGTCTCAGCTTCTGAGTGTGTCCTTGTGTCCAACGTTCGGCCTCGTGTCTCAGCTTCTGAGTGTGTCCTTGTGTCCAACGTTCGGCCTTGTGTCTCAGCCTGTGAGTGTGTCCGTGTGTCGGTCTGGGTCTGTGATGTCTCAGAGCGTGCTGGTGTCCTGGTGTCTGAAAGGACTCCTGGTTTTAGGTGGGCAGTGTCCTTCGTGTGTTCGGACTGACCAGCAGGCAGCTGACTCGAGGAAGAACCTGCAGATCTGGGACTTGTCAGAGGCGAAGAGGACGCTGACAGTAAAGAAGACACGGGGGTTGGAGAYGTAAAAGACAAGTGAGCAGCTGGTGAAGGAGAGTGTGAAGAAGTGACAGCTGACCCTGTCGAAGGCGAAAACGCTGCAGAGGTGGAAGACTTGGAGCGAGGTGGAGAGCGGGACAGTTTGGAAGGTGAAAAGGAAGACACTGTCCTGCTGTCTGACTGATGATGATGATGTTTAGGTGAGACTTTGGGTTTTGTGTCTTTATGAAGAGAAGGAGAAGCAAGAGGAGTGAGAGGTGACAACTTGTTCTGGCAGAAAGAAGTCGGAGGCTCAGCCTTCACTTGTGCAGGAGAATCTTGAAGTTCTTCTTTCACGTTGTTCTTCATCTCGTCTGTGTCTCTCGCCTCACTAACAGAGTTCACAGAGAGAGCAGCTTCAGACAAAGGTGGCTTGTTTTCTTCTTTTTTAACAGCAGGAAATGTCCTGTTTACTGCCACCTCCTCATCCTCCTCTTTTATCTCATCCTCCTCCTCCTCCTTCAGAACCACTGCTTCCATCTCCTCTTCCTTCAGCTCTTCCTCCTGCCCCTCCTGGTGGTAATGCTGGAGGCGTACGTGCCACGCCAGGCTGCAGACGGCGGACACCGTCTTGAACTGGTGGACCACGTTTCGGGGGATGAAGTAGATGTCATCGTGACACAGGCGGATGCGGGCGTAGCGGATGCCCTCCCGCCGTAACTGGTTCAGCTTGGCATCGTCCACCCACTGTACACACTGAGAAAAACAGGAACTTTCTTAAAGGGCCTGTGACACACTTACTCTTTAAATACAAAAAGTAAAAAAAAACATATTTATATCTAAGGAAATATGCATAATACACATGATTTTACCCATTTTGTCTCATAACTGGCATATTTTCTCTTGAATTTGGCCCAGCAAAGTGAAACAGGAAGTGACATCAAAGGGCAACTCTTTAAGAAAAGAAACTCTCTAGTCTTTGTTCATTGAAACAATTTTATTTAAACTCTTCTTCAACTCTGATAGTGACTCAAAATAATCTAAAGAAACATCAGATTCTTCTCTAATTATTGTAGCGTTGCTCTGTTTACATGCAGACATTCCCCTTTGACATCACTTCCTGTTTCTTCACATGCAAACATCTCAACAACTGTTCATCTCAACGGCATGAAATTTGTTTTGCAATATGTTCTCCATGTTATCTTCCCAAAAACGCATTCACGTTTATTACAAAAATTTGATGTCACAGGCACTTTAAAGCACTCAATGGTAATATCTTCTATGTTCTGAGTGTCTGGACCAAAGAAAWTTTGGCCAATTATACTTTAAATTAGGAGTTAAAAACATTAAAATGTAGGGAACCATCTGTGACAAAATAACAAACTTATATAGTAAAATTGTGTTTCTAAATTATTTTACTACCAGCATCTAAAAATACACCATATTTATATAAGCTTTTACATGAACTGAGCAACTTTTAATATTATTATAAATTACAAAAACAAAAAAGAAACATTATGCACAGATAAATCACAAAATATGGGAGAAAGTAAAAAAAAATTAAACAAATTTAAAAAAAATGAATCCTTACTTAAGCTAAATAATTTTTTAATGATGCGTTTTCTCCACCAGGTGGCAGTGTTCAACATTAGTTGCCACTATGAGATGACTGAAATACTGTGGAGGTGATCTTGTATCTAAACTGAGAAGTTGCTATGACCTGAGTGTGTGTATGTGTGTGTGTGTGTGTGTGTGTGTGTGTGTGTGTGTGTG